TTGTTAACCAGGTCTGTAACCTGGAAACCCTGTAATATTTTTAGGTATTCCTGAGTCCCAAGGGAGCAACCAAAGAAACAAATTTAGAGTCAAGGGGTGCAACTCAGAATGCTGCATTTACAGACTACTGAAATCAGTATTGGGAACTAACACAAGCAAAACTAAGACTGATTTTTCTCACCTTCATTTGGGAAAGAAGTTCTGACCTTTCCTTGTACTTAAGGACAGTACCCTAATTAATCATGGGCTTATTATCTGCAGACTAGATCAGAACATTTTGCTGACTTAGTGCTATCCATGAAAAGCATCCAGAAGTAGTTAGTGTAGAATATAACTGCCAGCCTAGAAAAGAGGAATTTCCCGATGGCTCCCTCTTCTTCCCTGGGTGCAGATCAAGGCACTGATTTTGACCTAGAGCACAAATCTATGTAGGGTTTGGATCCTAACTGTTTTTCACAACCTTCTCTCTTATGCTTCAGCTTTGCAACTGAGACTTACATATTTTGCTATTAGTTTCCAGATTTGATTTATTAGTCATCTGGAGAAGGACAATCTCAGTGAGAATGCTCAGCATTGTTACTCTGTTTTCCTGAATAGTCCACCAACACATCCCAAACTTGCTGAGCTAAAGGGCAGGATAAAAAGTCTGGCTATTCACTCAGGGTAACACTTAGCTCACTGTATGAAGCACATTCAATGCTTTATTCATTATGTGTGATCCACTGAAATCCCAGGTTTAGGGTTCAGGACTTGTCTGGACCTTCTTCAGTGAAGTCAGCTGTACCTTTCTACTCCTGATCAAGAAGATGCATTAATCTAACGTTCTTTGTTGGCTTGGGGATTTTTTTCCTAATCAGATGTTATCACATCCACTTATGTTTTTACTTAGTTCTTGAAAGAGAAATATATTGGAATTTTTTAAGTGCTCTTCAGGAACTGTATTGCATGCTCTTGGCCTCTGAAAAGCTATGGACATAGAAAGCACATTGTAGTAAGAAAGAAATGGTATGGGAATGCATATCACAACCTTTCAAGGTTATGTTTGAAAACTCCCATATTCATGCTGGAACTAATTTTTCCACCACGCAATAGCAAAGTTCTATATTAGAAGCTGTAATGCTATGAATTCACATGCCTCCCCCCTTCTTGTTATCTTTACTCACCTACTGCATTTTGAAGTGGCTATGTGTAGTAAAGAA